ATTTATCAAACATAGTAACTAAGCTGTATTTGGGTCTAAAAAAGTATGAAATATCGAGCAGATTAAAGACACAACCTACCTCATTAAAATCTTGATTAAAAAAAAAAGACAATGACCCTAGGTATGTTAGACCTTCTGAGCTTCTGATAGGTTATTCATGTCATATATAGAAGTAAGTGTTTTTAAGTGAACGTTTCCAAAAATGGAAAGAGGTGGGTGAGGTGCCACTGTGTATGATTTATTACACGAGTAATATCTTAGCAAATAGACAAGATAAGACTTTCTTATTTTATATTCTAGCTTGTCAATATCTGTAATTTGAGTTTCTAATTCGTATAAAACTATAGACTTAGTATTTTTTCTTCACAAACATCTAATTTGAATCAGTGCTGCATTCAACATACCATCCAATATATACTGAAAGGGCGAGCATGTTTGGTGTGACGGGGATTTGAACCCGCGACCCTCAGATTGCGAGTCAAGTGCGACCTCTCTTGTCAGTTACGTTATGCATTAACCACAAGTATCCTGCAGGTTTAATCAAAACAAAACAAGAATCTTTCACCTGGTTAAAAAATTATCTAAAATTTCCACTTGTACAGTAGCATACAAGGAAATATTTAAATAATAATAATTATAATCACTGTATTAAAAGGTAGAAAAATGTTGAAGACAAAACATTTTAAAAATATATATAAACATTTATGAGTTATGTTATATATTTAAATCTCATCGAGAATTCTCTGCTGTTGTTCAAATTTTACTCTGTATATTTTGTTTTGTTGGGTCATTTCTTTCTCATCTCTTTTTCATTCAACCCCAATAGACAAGTACAAGTAAAACAAATATCTACCATCAAGTTAAACTTTGCAATTCTTTAAAGGATTTTTATAAATACTGAAGATTAAACAAAACCAGGATGTACATTTTTTGAACTCTCCAGATAACCAATTGCTAGTACTGTAGCTAGCAAACAAAATCATAAGCTTGCAATATTATTACTTAAAGTCATTACTCTTACTTGTTTTATCTGGTCAAAATAAGTTCTCTCTTGTAATTTATCTATGATCATTATATTACTTTTATCAACAGCTGTTTTCAAGATGATTAAGATTTCACAAAAATCTAGAATCTAGATAAACAAATCACATTAGTTTGTAAGAGGGTATTTTCACATACCTGTTAGGAGTTCTGGATTCAGAATCTTGACCTTGACCTTTAGATCCCCCACTACTACCTTTACCCCAACTGTAAAAAGAACGTCCTGGGCCAAGCTGAATGTTCTCTACCTCTGCTTGCTGAAACAAAAAATACAAACCAATTTAAAGGTTCTTTCATGACTATATCACACATACATTAAAAACAAAAATTCTCTTTTGCTTTACGCAAAACACAAACTAACTATTCGAACAACCACTTACTCCTCCTTTAGCAAATTGTTTGAGTTTACTGGTATCGATCTTGCTTCTGCTGGTAACCATATTCCATCCCTCCTCTGAGACTGGGGGATTATTCCTACCTATTCCAATGTTAAAGAGCATTTTTAAAATCCTGAAATGCAATTAATACACAGCAAACATAATTTTTCTGAATATTCAGCACTACAGTGCCAAATCAGAGCAATCTACAGCACTGCCATTATAATTTCATGTGGAACAAACCAATATTGTTAAAAGACAGAATCTTTCTAAATCTTTTAACGTTAATTCTCTTTTGTTAAAACAGATATAAATGGTACAAAATACTATTTAAAAGATGTAGCCAATCTTCAGTAAAAAAAAGGTATGTTCCTTACATTTGTCATTAATGATGAAACCTGGTCATCAGGGACTTTAATATTAAAGATTATTGGTTTTCATAATTGCAGAAGAAATTGATACTTTTTTAATTCTCTGGATGCTCAACAGAAATTTTATATGTACTCAACTAATAATGAGTTCTAAAAGACTATATTTCTTTTGTCACATATGTGCAATGATTTTGTCCCTTTCGTAACTTGCTTTTTATCTCTACTCCTTTGTCTGTCAAAATAGATTAATTTAAGTTATTTCAATTAAATTTTAAAGAGTAAATTCTTTAATTATCTTCACTGTTTTTATGTGCAAACCTTTGAAGTACTTTGCACAGATAATATCTCTGAGAATATAGTGCTAAAATGTTTAATATTTTAACCTAATCTTTATAAAATAAATCAGCTTACTTTTTCTCCTTTCCCTTTCTTCAGATCTTTTTTGTGGTGCTACATGGACTTGCTGAAGAAGCAGTTGTTGCTGTTGAGCTTCTTTCTGGGCTTCCAAGTGAATCTGGTCAATTGTTTTGGGATTGTCATCTTCCCTTCTAGACACCCAGTTGTTCTGAAATGTTATTTTGAGTATAAAATTAATTCTTGAAACCACTGGTACTTTTTGAATCTCCATACATACAGAATTGAGAAAAGCAAAAAAAAGTGAAAATTTCACAAATAATTCATTTATTAGTATCATGGTCTTGTCAGTAAAGGTAACATCAGATGCAACTGTCTTTGTTTCCCTCAATTCTGTAGATATTTTGAGTATACTTGGTTAAATATCTTGACTTCATTTTGCTATTAGAATTCCAATAAATCCTTCCCAATTTTGTGAAATACCATTATAAGTGAAAGAACACAATAATATAAACTACACAATAAATCATTTAACAGGAAAAAAGTATCAACATTTTAAAAAATATTTAAATTCAAATTTTAAAAACATTTTTGCCTTAAAGAAAAAGCTCAATTTGAAATTTGTAATAATTAAAACTTTTAATTTTTTCTTGAAATTCATCCCAAAATGTTTGTTTTAGTTAATAGACACATCTTTTGTTTAATAATAAAGGAAATACAACTGAGCTTAAGTTAATCTTGGCTCCATATTTCTGTGGGAAGATATAACTTCTTCTCATAGAATACAAATGAATATAACAAACTGAAAACAAAAATAATCAAAACCCTATAACCTAAGAACTTTCCAAAGATGAACATTACTTCATCAGGGATAAATAGGAATATCACTACTGAAGAGTTATTCATACTGTTTATGAACTGTTATAATCAGGATGAAATATGGCTATGTAACAACAAAATCTGTGTGTAGACTATAAAACTGAATTTTAAATGACTCTTCTAATGGTGTAATACTTACATTCTTAAATTCAAATACTGATAAAAATATAATATCTATATAAAATTAAATGTCATTGCAGGGATTTTTTTTTCTACTTTTTGACACATCCAGTTATCTAGAGGCTTATAAAAATTTCTGAGCAGAACGACTTGGTTTCACAACCATCTGATTTCAAATAAGAGTCTTAACTGTTCTCTGTCCTCTTTGTAATGAGCAATAACTGCTAATATCAGTCATCCTCAGAACATAAATTTATTCAAACAACATTATGAATTGTGCTATTATTAGTGAAATGTATTTAGTCTTAAAATTATACATTAATCATTAATGCATTCCGATTGTTACATCAACACAAGACATATTAGAAAGTTGGACTTTTAGTAAATTACTCACTTGTCTCAGGTCAATAACATCTTGTAACATGAACCTAATTCGCGAGCTTGTTTTCCGTTTCTTCACTATCTGTTTCATAGCTTCAAAGTAGGTCTCCATCTACAACATGATTTATTATTATTATTACTATTGTTATATATTGAAAATTATTATTTTAATTATTTTAGTCATTTTTTCCCCCAAACTATTTTAATTTATTGATTTATAAAACTAGTAAGAATTATTCTAAGTTCTCACACATTCTAAGCTTTTCAACTAAAAAATTAAAACTAACTAAATAAACATCAAATGCAATTGACATAAACTAAGAAAAATATTAAATTAATAAGTAATCTAAAAGCAAGTGCGATATTTACTCTTTTAACACTGTAAGAAATTAACATTAAGTCTTGCATTATGAAAATAAATGTGACATATGCAAATTGTAAAGATGTCAGCTAGCATACTTATCCACAGACTTCAAACTGTTCTGTTTGAAAAATGTGTTATATGTTTCTCTTTTAATATAGTAAATAAAAATGTTTTAAAAATACCCATCAAATCATATAGTAAAGAAAACCTTTTCACGTGATAAGTTTATCACTGTTTTTTTATTTTATCAACAAACGTTTAGTACTTTAATCCTTTCAGTTTTCAGGACTGGCCATTTTCGTACAACTGTATAGAAGTGGGTGACTGGTATCCCACAAAATAATTAAAATTATGACTAAATCAATTAATGGCACAAAAACAAAGTAGCTAAAATGTTGCCATTATGATTTCTCATTAAAATTTTTTGATTAATTCAAGGTTGTTTGGCTTAATTGATTAGTGTCGTGACTCACGAAAACAATCAGTTCTCAAAATTATCGTTTTTGATTATTACTATTTTCAATTATTCCAACTATCCAAGTCTCCTGCAAGAATAATTGATGACTTGAATGTAATCAATTAATGAACTCAATGATTAATCAGTTATCACATTCCACTGATCACCCCACTCTAACGAAAAGTGGTAAAAATGTGCATAACATTGTGAAGCCTGTCACATTAATTCTTTCAACACAGTCTAGGTCAATTTGACCCACCAAATGACATCTTTGTACTTGTATAAACTCTTTATAATTTTGATACTACTAACTTTTAATATAGTATGTATATCTTCACAAAATTTGGCAGTCTTTCAGTATACATTACAAATCTTCCACATACAAAAAATCGTTTTTTAGTGAAATATCTTAAATATACTAAAAAAAGATTTGTCTGTAAATATGTTGAGTATTTGTTTTAAGTAGTCCGTGTGCAAAGTGATTTTCACGTTAAGATTAAAAATACTTTTCTTCATCTCAAAAATCTCAGATTTGATTTGTGTAATCTCTAAAACCCCTAACTACATTTCTAATGTCAGTTTTCAGTAAAACTTTATATTTTATTGTTATTTTCTCTACCATAACTCTACACAAGGTTGATCTATTTGACCAACCTCGTAACGACAAAAAAATCAAAATAAATCTAAATTACCCTTTTCTTCTTCTAGAATGACTTCAACTTGTAACATGAAACTACAGTAGCTTTAAACTCATAACAGTATACATCTATTTATAATTACATTTTATTGTTTTATGCCATTTGAACCATGTCTAAATACTATTCATGCCATTATAAGTTGTAAATTACTTGGGGAAAGTGGTGCTCACGTTACGCTATTAAATTACATTACCCACGAGCTACTCCAAGCTGTTTGCATGTGTGCCCCATGAAACATTTTTATTATATTATTATTAGTACTTATTTTACTTATTTTAATAAATAAATAAAAGGGAAAAACAAGAAATCAAGTACTTACCTGAGTCTTCTTTTTTTTTTCCTGTCTATTGTCGATAACACTTAACCCTACTAATGGTAGTAATGCACTAAATAATGTTTATTTAATTAAATAATGCACCAAAGAACAAAGAATAATAACATGTAAAAAGTAGACAATTTTCCCTAACTCTCACAATTTTTCTGGATTTCTAACTATGCGACAAGAGCCATTACAACACCATCCTAAGCTAGTGTTATCTTTCCCATGGGAACAAAGCTTGTACTAACAGTGAAACTGACAATTCTTTGTTCATAAAACAATGTAATATATTATGTCATTTGAATAATGAAAATTTTGGCTTTCTATTGGTTATAGATAATATAGAATTAAATGTAAAAGAGAACTATTAACAAATCTTGAAAGAGAGAATGTGACAAGAGGAGTCTGATTTTCCATTTGATGGCTTTGTAACCAAACAAAACTTAAGGCTATAAAAATTATGGTTTGTCTGAGCAATGACAATTTTATAGTGGGTAATTTACGTTTAACTTAACACTTATTGGAGGGGAGGTGAATAAAATAGAGAAGATGAGATGCCTAGAGAAAATGTGTCACACTAGACGAAATTCAGGATTTTTTTAAATATTGCCTTATAAAATAAAGAATTTAAAACATATACTATTAAAATATGGATTATTAGCTAAGATTTTATGCTATACTAATTTGTATAACATAAACAAAAAAGTAGTTTAATAATATTGTGAATATAAGTCACTAAAACCTTGTGACATGTGCAATAAAGGATGCCCATGGTGATAGGGTTAAGACACTTCAATATTAAATATCTCTTCCTTTAAACATACATTAAAGTTAAACCGTGGGGGCGTTATAATG